ATGTGTGTAGCAATATGTATGTTTAGAGCTAATATACACAAGTATATTAATATATTTATTTAAAATTCTCTACCTAATGGGTTGCATAATATTTACCAAAAATATAAATTTTGCAACATTTACATATATATTATAATAACACAAAAGTTTTCCTTCTGACAAGTTTTATAATGCACTGTCTTGGTTTATTCTGTTTTAGTATGACCCAGTTTGACTTAGCTGTTCCTTCTGAAAATGGTACAGGTTTTGGCTTATGGGTCATCGCAGTGAGGTTTCTTTTCTTTGTTTTTTATTACAAAGATGCTTTTTCTGATCCAACTCTCTGCATTTGTCCACCCAAAACACAGACTTTCTTGTCTGCTTGTTTCCTCAAAGTGCCCAGAATAGATGAGTATGACAAAGGCCTTACACTGGATTCTCTCCTGTCACAACCACCACCTGGTTATCTGCGCAAAGACCTGGCAAATGAATATGCTACTTGGATTGGGGTAAGTGATGTAATTTCACAAACAATTTTCATCCAGTTAGCTGTGAAATTGTCCCATCTCCAAACTCCAACAAGAAACACTCCCTTCAGGTGTAGGAATAAAATCTGAGGCATTTTTACTGTTAAGCATTCCTTTTAATTTCCTTAAATTCAATTGAATTTGTGTCTAATTTTCAATTTGTACATAGATATTGTGTGGTTTAATCTACTTTGAGAAGGTGTTAACTGTTTTATTTCGACATTTTTATTGAACATTTTCCATATCTGGTTTAGTAGCGTAGTGTGTGTTCTTGTGTTTAATAATAAATCACAGTGATAATATCAGACTTGCACCAATGTTAAAATGTTTGTTTGCAGTTATGAGTTATTATACAAAACAGAAGCAACTATAAACATGAACATTAACACTATTATGACAATATTAGGTATAACACTCTTTCCACAACAACATAATTAATCAAATGCTCTGTACTTCCCCATCAGAAAGGTGTGAATTCAGTTTCAAGAGTAGACATGCTGTAGACATGTCAGAAGATTTGAGTTTTGAGGCAATGTTTTACCTCTGTTTACCTTTTCTTTGAATCTGATCATTTTTAATTAAAGCCAGTCTTTTTGGGGTGTGTGGATACAGTAGACTTGCTCAGTATGTTTGCACTTACCTCTTTGCCCTTGAGCGCATCAGACAGGCCAAGTCTGTCAACTTCACTTGTACATTTTTTTCTGTCTGTTGAGAAACAACATTGTGTAAGTTTTACTGCCTTGTCACTTTGTGGGTGTTGCTATTAGTTAACACTTTTCTAATAGTTCTCCACCTGTTTCATCCTGTACTTTGCTTTGATATCACCTGTAATGTAAAATGTGTGTTATATGGTATGTTTTTGGCAGAATGGTTAACACCTACACCCTCTCTGGCAGATTTCACACTTCATAATCAGATAAAGTTGTTTCGAATACAGTTAATGGAATTTGATCCTAAGGAAAGATTAATTTTATTGTATGACTACTGTTTTGTAATTTTTATACAGTATCTCATTTCAAAATCAGACAAGTGAAAGTGGAAACAAAATCTTTAACAATAATTGCAGGGGTCAAAGGTCAAGGATGACATTATAAGGTGTGTCCCAAGAGGCAGAAGTTTATAGCAGCTATAAATGCGTTAAATTGTTATTGTGCTTTAAAGGGCCCATATCAGGCTACTTTCTAATCTATGTTATAATGTTGTTTCCTCATCACAAACATGCCTGGAGTTGTGTTTTGTTTCAATGACACATTTTTAACGGACAAACTCTGCATATGTATACTGAGTTCTTCACTCAATCTTCTTCACTCGGAAAACACTTTGTTCCACCTTGTGATGTCATGTGGTAATACAATAAGTGTTCCACTGTGTTTTTAAACTCCATACACCTTTACTATATCATCTGGATAGTTTCAGCCTTGGAATTGACAATCTCTGATGAACTAACAGGTAAAAGGTAGCTGTTAACTTGAAACGTAACGCTTCATGAAACCACCAAGTGGAACCGAGCATTTTGAGGTTTAGAGATGTAGACAGACTAATAATAAAGGGTTACTCAAGCATGTGTGACTGAAACAAAGCACAGCCCCACATGTGTTTTGGTGGAAGTAACAGTGTTATAAAATGGCATAAAGTTCACAAGAGTCAATTTTGCGTAATATAACACCTTCTAATCCAGTATATTGTTAGCAGCTATTATTACACTTTTAGTCATTGCTTTGATGTCATCTGTAATGTTAAGTGTATATTTGGTAGTGTTTTTGGTTACCACCTGCTTTTGTTCGCATGCCAAGTCCCATAAACAAAATCTTTTCATGTTACAGTGTGTGTGCTCTTCGTGTGTCCAAAAACAATTTTGTTAGAATCGCCAGTACAAATCTGTCATTACTGTGTTAACCATGCCCATTGCTGTTCAAACAGGCCTCAGGTAGTTCAGCTTCAGCCGGAAAGTGGAAGATGAATATTTGTTGTAGTTGTTGTTATGTTGGCAAAATATAACTTAAAGGTACACTGTGTTACTTTCTATGTGGGGGGTCCATCACCATGGAGATATTGTTGTTTTGCCTGGATTTTTTTCGGAGTATGATATTAAACTTATCTATTTCTTTGGAGACAATCACAAAGCCAGTTTACAGGTCAGATTTGTGAAGGTGGGCCTGCTTACAGTAGATTTTGTTTCATTCTAAAATCACTTAGAATTAAATATTAAGAAAGTTTAATGCCATACTGTGGTGCATTCCAGGGAAATCAGGCTCCATAACATATCTCAGTGGACACAACCAGGTGCTGGACTCTTACCAGAAAGGGCAAAGAGTGCACCTTTAAGATTTCACATTTTCACATTTTCACATTTTCGATTTCTATTCTGGATGTGGATGATGCTAACCACAAATGAAGGCATAAAAATTTGCAATTTAATGACTAAAGAGAACTCCGCCAGTAAATAATCATAAACTGATTACAACTTCGGTTTGAAGAGTGAGCCCTCTTATACAGAAAAGCTGTAGAATTTCCTATAAAGATTTAACCAGTCCTATCAACCCATGTGGAAATCGTTACAGTAAGAAGATTATGACTAATCCACTTTGGATGTCAGTTTATCCTAATGTATGGGCAATATATGACAGGATCAGATAAGACGGCACAATGCAGCAAGAAAATATGTTCAATTGAGCTTATAACAGCTCAGAAGTTCATTCTGGGGTTGGTGTATATGTTATTATATACTTTTTGAGAGAGGGGGATATAAGCACAGGTAGCATTATAGTGAGACCACTCTGGATACTAGGACTGCTCAGTTCTAAAGGTATTGGCCTAATTTGTCTCTTTATTGGAATTACACAGTGGAATGAGGATGTTACAATGTCACATTTTTGTGTTACAACAAGAAACACCAATTCATAACTGTTGACTCCATCCTTAAAGGAGACCTATTATGCAAAATAGACATTTTTTCCTCACACTTTTAATCATATTATAGTTGGAGTGAGTTCATGAGTGGAGTTTGTGCATATTTGAACCATCTCTAATCGCTTATATTCAAGATCCCATATTGCGGATCAACTCTTCTTTTCACCATCTCTGGTACATGCCCACTGATCTGTACTTAATTTGTTCTGCAATTTTATTTTCTTAATCAGTGATACACACAAGATTTGGAAAGAATCTGCTAATCACTAGTGTAATCTGCAGCTATCTGAGGTGGAGGTGCCGACTCTTGTTGTGATGATGTTTATGGCAAAGTTTGCTCCCATTGAGCACAGCAGTTTTCTAATGCAGAAGTCAGCAAACTAAACTAAGTATCCCCAGGTGTCATAGATTATAGATTATAGCTATATGGAAGACACAAGCACAATATGTCTTCTTTAATTCACTTTCTTTCACAATGCCTAATACATAGCCAATCAAAACATCATCATCAGCTTTTATGAACTCATCATTTCTGAATGATAAACTTAATGTGATATATTGAGCAAGATGAAAAGAAGCACCAAGTTGAATTGAAATTACTTAGTTTATTGGGGCCTGAATATAATCATGATTATTTATTAACTGATTAATCTGTTCTTGATAGCTCAACTGTGGCATACCAAAATGTGTTGCAGTAATGTTCAGGCAAGCTAAAACAGATATTGTGTGAACAAGGAATAAATACCCAGTTAAAAATATTAGAGATAATCCATGGTAACTGAGTTGTTTTAGCACGTTTTTCCATCAGCATAGATATGAAAAACATTTAGTACTTTTTACAGTTGTCAAAATGCCCAGACTATCTGGTCTGTTCTAGGGGCATGTATCAGTCAGTTTTAAAATAATAATGTCTATCAGACTGTCTGTGTCCTTGTTTTGATATCCAGGCAATTTCCAGTCTAAACAGTCAAACTATTGATAGATATATGTATAAATACAGTCATATTACTTAATATTGTTACTGTCAAAACCCTGTTAAATTTGACACACATGACCTTAGGCCAAATCCAGATTGCTTCATATTAGGGAACACAATTAATGAATTCATCAAAATTTGAATTGTACAAAAACAAATGGTGTAGTTGTTTAGGTAATACAATGAAATTAATGGAATTCTTATATATTCTCATATTAGTTGTATAAGCATCTCATATTTTATGCTTATTCTCCTGGACCATGATCTGACACCTGATTTGAAACATAGATGACAACTGCAATCAAGTTTACAATATTTCGCTGGAAAATAAAGGCCAGAATAAAAAGCCAGTATGTGAAAGGCTGTGGGAAACAAATGAGAACACATTATTATGACAATGAATCCTGGAAAAGTAATTTGAGGTTGTTGCACAAATACAAATCTCCTTTGACCAAAGCATGAGTCAGGCTGGACAAAGAAACATCTCTGACCTAGTAATATGACTAACTAAGGCTTACATGCAGTATAAGACTTTTGTTACCAGCCAGAAGTTTGGACTCACCCTCTTATTCAGTGTTTTGTTTTTGTTTTTTCTATATGTTTATTACCCTGCATTACATTCTTTTTATATATGTTTTATAACCAAATACTCAAATTAGGTGTTTGCTTTGTTGAAAAATCTTATTTTGATTTTATCCTCTTCTAAATAATTCCATATATTTTACTTGATATATTTTATGTCTTTTGTATGTATAAAATATTGAACGTAGTAAAACAACATTGTCATGATGATTATTCCTATATCGACTATCGTTCAATATATATTTTGGGGCTAAATATTTATCCTGTGTATAATTTCTTTAGTGAGGATTACTGGGATTATCCTGCTTGTTGTCAGTGGCAAAAAGTAGTTTTAATATTACCATTTATAGTTATATTTCTCTATTGTGACATATGTGCTTCAAAATTTGTTATCGTGATAGGCCTTCTATGATGAGGTAGCAGGTTAAATTATGAGGTAGCAGGTTAAGTTATGAATGTCTTTAACTGATTATAGATACAATCAAAGTACTTAAGCATCTGTTATTTATTTATTGCATATTTTTAATAATATTTGTCAATAATATTTGTGTCTACTTCTGCTCCTGTCACGTGCGGCCTGCCCCAAGGGTCCATTTTAGCGCCTCTTTTATTTTCTTTATACATGCTCCCCCTGGGTTCAATCCTAGAAAAACATCAGTTTAAGTACCACCTTTATGCTGACGACACCCAGCTCTATCTTCCTGTTTCCCCAAAAAACGTCTCATCCTTTGTTACCCTCCATACCTGCCTTGCGGAAATAAAAAACTGGGTGTCCTTTAACTTTCTTCAGCTAAACGAAAATAAGACTGAAGTTATCCTATTTGGACCTAACACTGACACCCTCACATCTGACCTTGGACCTCTTGCCACAAATTTGCACGGTTCAGCAAAGAACCTTGGTGTTTTTATGGACTCTCTTTTAAACTTTGACAAACAGATCGCAAATGTTGTTAAAACTAGCTTTTTTCAACTCAGACAAATTGCCAAATTAAAACCAATCCTATCATTCAATAACTTTGAAACAATCATTCACGCCTTTGTAACAAATAGACTGGACTATTGTAATGCACTATATTCAGGCCTCCCACAATCCTCCATCAACAGGTTACAGTTAATTCAAAATGCTGCTGCCAGACTGCTCACCGGTTCCAAAAAGAGAGACCATATTACACCCATCCTAGCCCAACTCCACTGGTTACCTGTTAAATACAGAATTGATTTTAAAATTTTATTATTTGTTTTTAAATCACTTAACTCACTTGCACCACAATACATCACTGATCTTTTAACCCCCCACACAGCCTCTCGGTCTCTCAGGTCAAACTCGCTCAACCTCCTGTCCATCCCACCATCCCGCCTCAAAACTAGGGGAGGCCGAGCCTTCTCTGTTGTTGCCCCCAAGCTTTGGAATTCCCTCCCTCTTCCCCTGAGATCTTGCTCCTCCCTATCTCACTTTAAAACCCTCCTAAAAATACATTTTTTCAAGATGGCATTTAACAGCCCATGAGCTCTATTTTAAACTATTATTTTTATGCATCAAGTAACTCGTCTATGTAATATTTTATATTTGTGTTAGTGTTTTCATTATGTTGTGTTTCATGCTGTAAAGCACTTTGGTGCAACTTGTTATGGTTGTTTTTAAATGTGCTATATAAATAAAATGACTTGACTTGACTTGACATTTACAATTGTTTTGTGGGGATAAATCTGCTCTTTGGTTTAGTTTCAATATTATCGTTTATCAGCTCTATTGTCTTCAGTAACATATCGCTAGGGATGTAACAATAACTGAAATGTATCGTATATGATATTGTATTGTCAAAAGTTTCGCAATAACATCGTGGGTAGTGGGAACTACATAGACCATGATCCTTTGCTCTGTCTCAGTACTGACATGAGGAATTATAAGCAGTTTTCAATTTTAATTCTTTAGATTATGATAGAAGCAAAGGATTGTCAAAGCATTTTAAAAGAGAAATTGTGTTGACCTCCAGAAAATATTGCAATAAATATCGTATAGTGAGATGCATATCTTGAAAATATCGTATCAAGAGATTTGGATATCATTACATCCATATATATTGCATCTCAAAATTTGTTATCATGACAGGCCTACCTTACATATAGTATAAGACTTTTACATGTTAGTGGACAGGTCAGATATGAAGGAGTGGTGCCTCTACAGCGAGAGTGGGAGAAAGGGTACGCTGTTTACATTGTGGAGGAGTCTGCACTTCAGAGGCAGAGCCATATTTATACAGTGCTGATATGTACATTTTGTAGATTTAGCTCAAAGTCACGCAATGTTACAGATACAGCATACCTTCTCACTGGCCTTCATGTAAAAAGGACGTCCAGAAAATATTGCTAAATAATATTCGGTCAGAAGTAGTTTTTTTCTGTTTAGACAACAATAATAGTATGGACATTTATTAGGTTTTTACTCCCTCAATTTAATTTAAAATAAAAATTTTAAATAATTTTATATTTTTATATTTTTCAAAACAAAAACAAAAATAGGCAAAAACAACAACAACAACGAAACTCCCACACCCCACCCCTGACTCCACACACATAAAATTCTCCCTTAATTTACTTTTGATTCATTCGTGCATGTTTGAGCAACACAAACTCAAGGTCGAAACTTGAGTGCTCAGAAAATTTCTGTTTTCACTTACCCTCTATCCCTGCCCACAGCTCTGTACTTACTATAATTCAATAATTCTGAATATTTGAATTCTGAGTAGTGCTAAAAATGTCACGTAATAATTTGTCAAACATAAAAATATGTAACTGAAAGTCTTGGTTGTCGCTTTATATCAGTGTTGCTGTTTACAATTAATAAAATGTCATGCCCCACTTTCCATCTGCATTCTAGCCATCCTAAGTATTTTTCACAACTGCCAGAGACCAGTATAGAGTTTTGCCGTGACTGTAAAGTGAACTGTAACTGGCATGCTCACCAGCACTTCCTGATTATCAGACAAGAAATTGCTTTCTAATTAGATGCAGATAGAGTAGCATTAGCTGACTTCTTTTGACCTCAAGGGCTGCTAGGACAAGACAAATGGGGAAAAAAATCAAGTACAGTACATTTAACTAATGTGTTGAGTTTGCAGTTACAGTACTTTCACTTGCTTTTTCCCAGGTGAGAGTTACCTGTTACGCTAAGGGATCATAAGCATCAAGTTTCCTTATGACTGAATCCTTTTGACAACATGCCAGTGCGTCTAATCCTCCTCTCAATGATTTTATTGTGAATGAATGCGTAGATTACTGGAAAATGTTTATCTCAAAAACATTATTTCATGACCTTTGGTGGGCGATCTCTTCAGCAGTGATTTGTGGCTGATTAAGAGGGATATATGTACCAGATCTGAACACTAAACTTTGTAAATTACCAAACAAGGCCGGGCCTGTCTGATACGGTAGCAACAAAACATCAATCTACTTTCTTCTATGCCTAATCTACAGTGGTTTCCCATGGCACAACATCCTTCCTTTCTGGCAGATTTGACACTGCAACATCAGATAAAGCTGTTTGTTTTGTTTTGAATACAGTTAATGGAATTTGATGTAGCCTAAGGAAAGACTAATTTTAATGTCTGGCTACTGTTTTGAAAAAGCTATATCTCATTTAAAAACAAAAAGAAAGTGGGAACAAATACTTTTATAATAGCAGGGATGAAAGGTCAAGGAAGACATTACAAGGTGTGTCTCAGAATGCAGACATTCATGGCAGTTATAATTGAGTTAATTGTTATTGTGGTTTAAATCTAATAGTGTTAATTATATTACGGTTTTGAGTGGCGACAAAGTGCTAAAGTGCATGTTTTTGAAGGTGATTATTAAGCAAGTGTCTGATGCTGCTTAGGCCTGTCACGATAACTACTATATGGACATATCATTCAATATATGAAAGCTAGAACAATGTTTTATTAATTATTATTAATATTTATCAATATGCACTTTTTCTTTGCACTACTGGGAAATCTTTAGTTATTTTTTGTCCATATGATCAGATTTAAGCCTTAAAAGTTGAATAAATTACTTCTGTGACTCATTACAGATGCAAACTAAAGTACTTAAGTGATTCATTCTGCTATTTATTTATTGTAGCTCATTATTTTTGAACAAAATTGTAGATTTAGAATAGTTTTGTGATTTAAATCTGCTGGTTTAAACAACATAAATTAGTTGCAATATTATCGTTCATTGTCTATATTTACTTTAGCAGTATATCGAACTTCAAAATGTGTTATTGTGATAGGTAATGTTTGAATCAGGTTGGAAGTCAAATGTCACCAAAAATGAAAATGCTAAAACTTCAGAAACAAAAAAAAAACCAAAACAAAAAAACAGGCCATTAAAGAGTCTAGTCATGATTTTTATTTTAATGCCCATATTTTAAACCACCTAAAAATACATTTCATTTAAAGATATACTGATGGAAGTTACATCACCAACTCTCTTTGCAGATGTTAATGCTTTGCCTGGAATGTTTCACAGTATGGCATTAAACTTATCTTGCTTTTACAACTATATTACAGTTTTGGCCTAAATTACCTTTAAAAACATGCACGTGAGTGAGCCACCTGTCCACAGATCTGACCTGTAATATTGTCTGGTGACATTACCCGCTTGACTATGGAGCTAGATGAGTTTATTGCCATCCTGTAGAATATGCCAGACAAAGCAATAACATCTCCATGAAGACAAGCAGGTTAAAGTTAAGGTACAGGTATAATTCATACTTGACATCATTCCATGATGACCCACAATGCACACATTAACAAACACAGTCAAAAAAGTTTTAAGATCCTCTGAAAACTCAATAAAAATACAAAATGCATTTAAGTAACATTTTCAGGAGCCTGTGATCGATATGAGGGTTTGTGGTCCTGTTTAGGAGTTTGATTTTTAACAAAAAAGGTAAAAAAGACTGAAACTGACCTTCTCACCTGTTGTAGTCCCAATCAAGTCATTTCTTTCTGGTCAGATTGTGTTAACGTCCTAGCTTGAGTAACAGATAGGGGTGTAACGATATCTAAGTCTCACGATACGATATCGTCATGGCATGAACCTCAGGGTAAGATGTTTATTACGATATCATGGGAAAGCTCACGATATGGTGGGGAGGCTCACGATAAGGGATGTAACAATATCCAGATCTCTCGGTATGATATTTTCACAATATACATCTCACGGTACGGTATTTACTGCAATATTTTGTGGAGGCTGAACAGCTAAAACTGTTACTATGTTACTTTTTCCTTTTAAAATGCCTTGACAAGACTTAATCCAAAGAACTAAGACTTGAAAGTGTTTAGTACTGTTATATCTTCTTGTAGTCTCCACTGAAATGGAGCAAAGGCTCATGGTCTATGTAGTTCTCTGTGTAGTCTTTATTGCTGCACTGTAACTCTTAATTTAAGCAAAAAAGACTTGTAATTTGATATATTGTGATGGTCCATGATATTATCGTGAGAACTTTGACGGTACGATATCACGATTTGTTGGTTATTGTTACATCCCTAGTAACAGAGCTTCTAGCAGAGCAGTGCTTTTAGTTAGCTTCACCCCCAGGGAATGCTGATGACAGTAGCTGCAAAGTATGAATTGGTAGATCCTCCATTAGCAAAGTTACATAGTGCTTCTTTAAGTAATATGTAATATCAGTCATTAAAATGCTTCATAATAATGGCAACATAAAAACACATTTAGTACAAATCAGTTGACAATAAAATCTACACATAGACCTGTCACGATAATTACTACATCTACTGACTGTTCTGTTAATGATAGTTTAAATTATTTGTTTTGGGCCTGTTCTTTGCAATAGTGGGTATATTGGATTTTGTGTTTTGTAATTCAAAAATATTTCAGCTGTAAAAGGGTGAATGAGTTCCTCTTGTGGCTAATTATAGTCTCATTCTGCTATTTATTTGTTACAGATCACGCCTTATTTCAGTAGCATATTTTCTGCTGCAATATGTTGTTATTGTGACAGGCCCATCTACACATTCAATTACAAGAAGAATTATGGCACGAATGATTGGAGAAAAATAGTAATTTGAAATGCCAAGTTATTTTCATCTCTTGTTAATTTGTCATACATCTTACAAGAGAAACCTGGCTGCCAACCACATTTTTTCCTCCTATAATTGTAGACCTTTTGATCTGAAGGTATTTATTAATACTTCTGACAGTTAAACACCTGCCTGTTTTCAAAGCTACCGGTTAGTGTCTGTTTTGCCCAATCATGATTTATAAAGTTGATTGCCTTTGCCTTGAGGACCACTTTTGTAAAAGCTTTGACACGGTTGACATCACCGTGGCCTCACATGCCGCCTGTCTGCTGGTGATTCACACTTACAAGTGATTTATCTGTTTAGGCTTTCATCAAATGTGTTTCATACCTGGCTCTGGTCCAGCTTTGGTCATTTATGAAATCACTGTGTAGACTTCTGCTTCATGTATTGTGTGTGCAGACTTCATCTCATTAAAATGATGCACTATGTAAGTTTTCTGGAGGGTATGACTCAATAACGTCTCCACAGTGATTGTTATTGTTTTCCCTGAACTGTTACACAATGAATAAATTCAAGATGGAAAAGTAAATGCTTGGGATGCACCAATATAGATACTGGTATTGCATACCTGCGCAAATCCATGAAAATTTGCTGGTATGCCGGGTATCAGTTCTGCCATCCCATTAGGGCCTATAAACTGATGTAATTAGATTAATTAGTGGTCATAGTTGGTCCAGAAAGTCTCATAATGTTTGAGCTTTTAATACAAAATTGTTCTGTAGTTACTTGAGAGATAAATAAGAGCAACATTACACATTTTGTTCTCAATATAGTTTTGCACTGGTATAGGTTGATATCGGATATATCACCAGAAGCCATAGCATCAGGAAGTACTGGAACTGAAAAATCTCTATCAATGCTTTCACAACTTTTAGAGGCCACGTTATTGCTATTCGCTTGGCATGCTAACAGTGTTATTACTTCCTGGTTTGTGGACAATAAAAATGCTTTATATAGATGCAGGCAGCACACAGCAGTCTCATTTTGACCCTAAGAACTCCTTTTACAACATATCTGTATTGATGACAAATATTATTTTATTAGATGAAAAAAATTGGATTACAACAAGGAAATGATGGCAGAAGATAGAGGCAGGTGCACCTAAAAGAAGCAGTACATGTTGAAGTTAGAGTATAATAGGCTTAGTACTTTGTTGAGTTATTTTGTGGTCACTATAATAAACAAAATATAAAAATATAAAACACAAATTTTTGAGTGCTAGAATCCTGCCTCTCTGTGGACTTGGCAT